TATCCCACGAACTATCACACAGAGTATTCCTGTAGCTCCCAATTCCAGATGCTGCTACGGAGACCATTCAATCTGTGCTTCAAGGGTGGGGATGGTCGAATTACTAGCGACTACTCGTAGTTTTGTGTTTTTGTGTTCGGTTGGTACTAGGTCCGGTTTGCTTTTGCTTGGTAGCATGGGTTCCCAGAAGTGAGTTCGATTTGAATTAGCATCATCGGTTCAACCGGTTCTTCTGTGCTATCCCGGTATCTCAGGCTCAACGGAGCACGGGACATCTCAACCCCTGACTATACTGACCTATTGCATAGTCATTTTTGGAAGACCACCAGGGATGCTTCAGCGGTCGGGTGTGGTGCCCGCTGGCGTGGGGGGTGTGAGTTTGAGTATAATTTGGAGTTCTGCAACCATGAGTCTGCTACACGTCCAATCCTTACATCCGTGGGTGAGGCCTTGAGACAGAAGAGCCCATTGGCTGCGACTTCTCGGACGCGGACTGCTCGAGTCGTGGAGATCAGCACGCTGAATGCTAAAAGCATCTAGCAACCCAACTTGAAATGCACCTGCTCAGCTTGCTTCCCTGAATGCAGACTATCACAGACGTAGGAATTTGGATCTAAACCAAGTTCAGCATATTGACCTTCTCTCTTCCCTAAACAGTGCCAACACTAAGAGGTTCTAACGTGCTGAGGAAGAGGAGCTGTAGATGGCTAGGCCTGCTCACATCTTGGACAACAATCGCACTCTCACCTAGGCGCTGCGCTGGCGTGGCCGTGCTCGCCGTCCTCGAAACTGTCATCGCTTTTGGACGTCTACGCTCGCGAAAGCATAGTTGTCGTCGTTTTTGGACGTCTGGGCTCGCGAAAGGACAACTGCGTTCGCGAAATGCGAAACTGTTACTTTTGGGCGTTTGGGTTCACAGTTTGGTGTCGTATAAGCTGGCAGAATGTCATCTTGCTGCTGATTGCTACATACCGTACATATTGGCAACTACGAGAATCCGCCAGGAAGCTGGTTTGAAGCTTTTGGCCATTGAAGATGGAGGCGTGAGTTTCATCATCAGCACGAGCAAGCCATCAGCATGTGATGTGTATGTTCCACATGTTTGATTGTCATAACTGATATGTTTGGGCAAGGTGTACTCCAGCGATGGAACACGACGGCGCCAGAACAACGTCAGGCCTTGATAAACCACCGTGTTGCTTGCAAAGCCCAGTTGGCATCACGTGTTTGAATGCCTTCCTTCTGCGTTTGCACACTAGCTTTCAGCAGATCAGGTTGCCGTCAATGACCTCCTTATCGAAGTGGACAGCTTCAGGGCTTCAGGGTATCATTCGGTGTCATATCAGGCTTCGGACAGGAAGCTGCAGAGAAGCTCCAAGCTCGACCTAGTTGGAACTAGGTGCAGGAAAGGTCCTTGTAAGGTTCCGTTTCTGTGTGTAGCTACTGAGCTCGTGGAGGATGGCTTTCGCAAGGAGGACATCCCCACGGCCTTGGAGAGACGACCCCTACGTGCGGCTTGCTCTACATATGTAGATGCTTCTGGCGAGGGGCTTTGTCGTGGCTGCTCTCCGCAAACTCCTACAGTGGTCATGCCGCGCGCAAACTCTGAGAACTCCTGCTCCGAGGAGCTCGTCTTCCGACGCATGCCCGCAGAGGATTCGCAGGACAAGCGGTGCCAGTGCTTGTCATTGACAGTGTTTGATTGAATTGTTTTCAACAGCAAACATAAATCCAGAATTGATGCATGAGGTCATCATTTTTTCAAACCCTTCCCCCTAGTATTGAATAAGCCCCCGTTCTCTCCCCTATACGATATGAAAACAAGAGCTGGCGGATTCTGTTTAATATTGACCGGGGGGGGGGTATGTTTTTCGTGAAGAATGGCAGCACGGGATGGGACGAGGGTTCAGGGGTTTTCGGCGAGAGAAGGAGAGGTTTGCGTTCAGCATGCTGATGGTGTTCTGGAAGAATGGACAATGCACTACATCCCCTCATCCTCCAAGAACGCTGCAGCCTTGGCCTCGAGAAACCTCTTCCGGGCTTTCTTCGTCTTCAGGTTCTTCCAGTTCTGCTTGGTCCTGGCTTGCAAAAAACATGTGGCATGGAGCCAATCTTTTTCTCATAGTGAACCCCAGACTTGGGGGCCACCACCTCATAGAAGACCTCCGTCATGGTTCTGCCGGCAAAAAAGTTTCTCTTCCGCTTCTTCTTCTCCCTCTTCTCCTGCTCCGCTTCCGCCTTGGATGCGAAACATGGCAATGCTTTCGTTCCCCCTAACTCGCCAAAGCACATCCGCCCATGGAGCCTGCAACATTCACCTGAAGGAGCTGCCTGTCATCCAAAACGATGTGATGGTTGCAGCTCGCTTTATCAACATGTGGTAGCCCTTGCAGTAGCCCCACCATTCCTGTTTCAATGGTTCTGACCAACCTTCCGCCATGCGTTTGGTTTTGTCTGTTCCTCTGGCAGTTGTTGCCAGTAGCTTCCAAGGAGTCGCTCGATGATTTCTTGGGCTCTTAACGGGCCGGCCACCTGTAGGATGTGCAGAACTGCAGGAACTGCAGGATGCCAGCTTCCGCGAATGACGTCTTCAGGGTTTTGATCCATTAGCTGACATGTGCAAGGCGAGTCCAACCTTGATTGTGCAGTTGTTGTGCATCATTCATTCACCATCGAACCGTTCAATGGTTCGCTTCTGTTCCAGAAGGCCTAGGCGTGCAAGGTCTCGCAGAAGTTCAGCAACCCCGCAACGATCCACAAATCCGCCAACCCGAAAGACATGTGTCTGGAATCTAGACTGCAAGCTCAAACCAGCGGACCTTGCAACACAATGGCCTTGTCCAGTTAATGAGCCTGCCGATTGTGATCGGGTTTGTCTGCCTCATGATGAGGTAGATCCGCTTTGATTCGTCGGTGATGTTGTGCCAAAGTGACACGACTGTGGTTTGCAGCAAAGCTCTGCGCATCGTTTAGCCACTTGGACAAAAAGCTTCGCAGCTTGAGAGTGGACAGTCGAGGCGGTCAGGTTTTCATAGTTGGCTCCTCAGCACTGCTCAAAATCCTCGTTGCAGGAAAGATGCTGGTTTATCTCGCCTGCACAAATTCCAGTGCAGAAATGATGAAACTGGACAAGAGTGTCCAACTTTCCAACTCGTGCTTGGATGGAGAGTTGAAGTAGAATGCAGCTCGCTGTCATGTGCACCCCGCGCACGCCTGTCAGAGCAGGCTCAATGAGCAGGCTCAATGTATATATATATATAGAGCTAACACCCCCTCCCGAAGACCAACCCCGATCGAAAAAATTGTCATGTTTGTATGTTTCTCCGTCCCTCCTAGGGAGATGCAACTCTGACAGGTAGTAATGACGAAGGAATAAGGCGTGTTACTTGCAATATCCTATGAGATTTAATACTGCCGGACCGGACTCGATATACTTGTTGGGAAGCCTCAGAGTTTAAGATTTTTGATGTGTGAGCTGTGACGAATCAGTATACTGACGAATTAGGATCTCAAATACAGATAAACGACAAGAAAGGATGTGCAGATTATCGAGTCGAAAGGATGTTAATCCTCAAACCATAAGACGAAGAAGTATTCGAGGGCATAGAGTGATATGTAAAAACATTTTATATGTAAGCCCGGGGGCGTGAGAATACTGTGAGCAAATATCATTTCTTGATATTCGGGGTTTGGAAATGCCTTTGACTGCTCTTTGTTTATGTGTGAGGTTGGTCCTGGGGGGGTTAAGATATATATATATATATGTACATATTCATATATATTGCATACATATGTACGTACTTACGATGTGCACCGACCTGAACTCGTTCCAGATACCACAACTTCCTCGCAATGCAGGATCAAGAAGCTACGACTTTTGCGGAACCCCGTTTTGCATGCACGATACCCGTCCGTTGCACGCGACAAGTCTAGCAAGACACGCGCCATCACCAAGGTCTCTCCAGATGCTTGTGCCTCGCAGGCTGCAGGCCCTCCGGCTTTTGGAGTTGGAGTCAGACAGAACCCCGAGCACAGTGCCGCCATGCATCCGTTGAAGAACTCGAACGAAAAAGTGCCAACGAACTCTGGGAAGAGCATGTCTAGCTTAAACGACAAAACGCCAGATCCATCTTCCTATTGCCCATCTCTGGGGGGTGCACCTGCCGGACTGTTTTGTTGTTATGCTCAATAGTACGATGAGCTGGTAGGAGCAGAGATGTCTAGCCAGATGAAAAGGTTTGCCAAGCCTGTTGCTCCGCGTGCAACCGCTTCGTAGGAGTGGCAGATACAGGGGATGCAGCAGAGTTTAGTGATTCAGGTTTGGAGTGTGAGATGCGTGATGGTAGTAGGTGCGCCCGCCGGACTCGCCTTGGACCTGCTCCAACTGGTCCTACACTCAGAATGACTCAGCTTGGAGCCTCTGGAATGAGGAGGCCGCAGGAGTCTGCTGGAGTTTCGGAGTTTCTCAGATTCGAGGGCGTATGGATAGGACAGAAAGTGCCCTCAGGGTTCTGATGAGTGACGGCGTGCTCAAGTACAACCAAGGAAGAATGAAATAAGATTCCTTGAAACCTTTGGGCGTGCGGATCAGTCCCGTTGCCAGGGTCGATCAAAGCTGCCTGTGCTTCCATGACCCTTGATGGCCCCAATCGCATCCAATCGGCCGTCTACTTCGGGCGTTGAAGCAGGCTAATTACAAGCTTGTACGTCTGCGACTGCCTGCAACCATGAGTCCAAACGCTGCTCAGAAGTTCGCCGCAGACGTTGTTAGAGGAATGCTCCTACGTGCTTGTAAATCATGCATCAGAGACGGAAGGTTCTTCAAGAGTACTCGTGCCGTGAAGCATCTGAGAACCATGCTACAGCCAGCATCAGCCTGCAAGGCACGAGTGTGGTAGCTTGAGTAGGTGCATGTACAAGAAAGCTAGCTGACCAGGTGCAGCTTGAGAGGCATAAGAAGGAACTTGTAAGCCGCGCCGTCCCACCATCCGACAGCGAAGATGGCAGAGGCGGAGTGCAGGTTCGAGGGCAGGCGGGGGATGACTATTGTTGATTCTGCAAGGGTTGGGGGGCTGCGGCTTGTGTGGACTCATTGCGATAGCGGCTACCGAGCGGTCACGTTTCTTTGCATGTCCCGCACATCTTCATGGTGATGCATCCTGGTCTTGTACCAGGATGCACAGCCACAGTCTCGCAACAGGGCTCAGCCGAGTTTGTCACTGTTTCGGCTTGCCCTAGCCAAGATACTGGTACCTGCTAGCCTGCACGGCAGCCCTGTTCAGGCACCTGCTTCAAATTGCACCGATGATGGAGGTTACCTACCGGGACTTCCGCTACTTCATGCGCCTTTTATCCCGAAGGGTTCCTCGGAACTGGACGGAGCTCTCAGTGTTGAGGGATTTGCACCCCTCGCGCAATCTCCACTCCACCCTTTACAATGGGAAATTTGACGCTTTCACTCACTAGGTCCCTAGGTGCCAGCAACCCATCCGGAAGCAAAACCCCTGACCAAACCACAAGTAGCACAAGCACAGGCCCAACTCTGGACTGAGATGGTGGTGGATGATACCATTCTGCACAACACGGAGCCGGAGAAATGCGATCGCTTCTTGAGATATCACGAGGCCGCTGCTCCGATTCCATCTCGATTCCATGCGTTCCATGGCAGGCTGCAATCATGCATAAAACATGATGCTGCAGTAAGCTGCTTTCCATTGGAATGTCGCTAGAAGCTGCAAACTCGGCCTGCAGCTTTCAGCTTCAGAAGTGGTCTCAATCCATGGTGCCAATACCTCAAAGCCTGATCCAAATCACGGATCCTCTGCTGGTCCGTTGCGAGGCTGAGCATCCCATCGTCTGCCAGCTAGGACTGTGAGTGAGTTGAACCAGCTCTGAGGCTGAAGGTTCAGGAATCAGCTCACAGGTGACTGTAGTAATTCATGCAAAGAAAGGGTATTGAGAAGCCATCTTGGGTGCAGGAGGCAGCGATCCAAGAAAACTTACTCAAGCAGCAGAAATCGTGCAGAGGCTTCTCGTTGTCGAAAAGGTGGAGTAACGTGCCGGTTTCTGCATGGTTGCTTTGTCGTTTCCCAAGGTTCCCAATCATACTTACGTGCTAAGCCTGATATCAAAATACTTTTTTGCAAAGCCTGGCCGGGCGTAGTGCTATCATGCTATCGGGATGCCATCGTCAGACAGTTCTCCCAGGTATGGCTACGATGAGGTCAACCTCAACTGTGGGTGCCCTTCCAGCCGTGTAGCTGGCAAAGGCCAGGCCATCGCTTTTCGCAGCTTATCTGGTTCGATTAGGTTCGATTGCCCATCTGACAACCTTACTTGACCAGCGAGTTACTGTATGTAAACATGATCAGGAGTGCTCCTACGCGACCTTTCTCCGCAAGCCTGTCCTTCTCACTCTCTCTCTCATTCTTGCTCTCTCACTCTCCCCACTTGTTTGCTTTCTCCCTACTCGTCATTATCGCCATTGAGCAGTCGACAGTCGTCGCGAGCAGATGCAGGGCCGTGGCGGACATGATGATGCGGACACCGTGCCTCATTCTAGTCCAGTCATGCAAATCTCATACTGGTATCGTGTGCGGTGTCAAAGCTAAGATGATGCTGTGTGAGGTATGCCCACCCATGCTCAAACAAGTCAGTATCCATGCTTAGTGTGGAGTCGCGAAGGGGAGGGGGGGGGGGGGGGGGGGCAGGGTGCAGGTCATTTTCAGGTTGGCTGCGCTTGTGTTCAGCGCAGCTCAGAAGGGGCACATTCCCAGTAGGGTTGACCAGCAAGAAGATTCGAAAGCCTCGCCGAGAGTTCGCTTGGCCTGCAAAAATTCGCACAGCTGGGGGTACTGATAAATTGCCACACATCGTGAGCGAAAGTTTGGCACAACTGGGGGTGGGATGGAGATACGTATCCTGCATTCAACATTTTCTGTTCGCTTCAAGTCGCTGGGTCTCGAGACGCATGACAACCTGCATGTTCCCCAATGACAAGACAGGCGAGTTCGGCTGCTCCTTGATGAAGAAGAAGGACTTAGTACGGGATGCACCTTGGCCCCGACTGATCGACGAGCTTTTCGAGTACAGCAACTGCAGCACAGCAGGTTCTGACAGCAGATGCTGTGACAATCGCCTTGTTCATCCTTGTTCCCTTGCGGTTTCATGAGCGGGTTTCAAGGCCATCCATGCGATGAGTCGAGCAGTGCAGATTCCGGTGACAGTGAAGTGCCGTCACCCGGCACAACCATAGTGACAATGGGCAACATACCGTGCATTGTATTGCACCGCATTTCATGTCACATCTCTTTGTGTTTGTGTGTACATACATACCACTCCAGATGCACCTAATTTTGGGAAACTCGCATTTGCGTTAACAGGAGCTCGGCTTTGGAGCGTGTTTGCTTGGATTAATCGTTTACAGGGTTTACAGGTGTTGCGAGAAGTCTATACCTTTCATCGCTTGAGCTCTCGTGGTCGTACAGCAAGCTAATTATGGAGACGGCAGCTAGCATCGCACGGAGCATAGGACGGAGGATAGCCTGATGTGGACAGCAAAACGTGGGAAGGTTTGAGATCTGCCGGGCAAAGGTGGGTTCCGGGACGAGGGATGCCTCGGTGCTTCAGCGACCAAATCAAGAGAAGAGGGGACTTCATGGACTTCGCTTATTAAGAGGTCCACTCCTCTACATGGAATTGGGTCAAACTCCAACGTTAATGTGGAGGCAGAACTGCAGAGGGCGTGCAAAAAAAAACGGCGCACTAACTTCGCCATATACGTGCCAATGAACGTCCCCAGCATGGGCCCCAAGCTTGCTGCTGCTTCTCCGTGTGTAGGCACCTGATCAAAAGAAGGGGGCTAGCTGGTGGCGAAATTTGCGAGCTAACTTTGGCAGTCACCAGACATCTTGAGAGCTACACTAGAAGCAGGAAGTGCGTACGTAGCATGACTGTTAATTTATCCCGGGGCCTTGCTTGACTGGCAGTGGCTGGTATGCGTGGCATCTCCGTGCTGTTGCGATGAAGTCTCAGGTTTGGGGGCTGATGAGTTCGACTCACCCGACTTCACGCGCGACTTCGTGAGAACTGTTGCTCAGGGAGGGTGCAAGCACTTCATCATCCATGCCCGCAAGGCGCGGAAGTGCTCAAAGGAATGTTGGATGTGGCACGAGGAGACAAGGCCGCTGAGGAAAGTGCAACGTGTCTTTCCGTGTGAGGCCTGGCTGACTGGATTGTCGCCTGCCCAGAACCGAACCGTTCCACCGCTGCACTATCCACGGATCCTGGATCTTTGCCATCAGCCCTTTGGCAGCCTTGAAGCAGTTTTCTGAGCTTGGTACGTCGCCGAGTCTAGTCTAGTCTTCTTGGCACATCGTATGCATAACCACGTCGCTCCTCCATCAAATCAAGAACCCAAGATGCACACTTTGCTTTGCACCCCATTGTTATCGTGCAGTCTGAGTTGGGTGAGGTTTCCAGATCTGAAGTTCAGCATCAACGGCGGGATCACAGATGTCGGCATGGCTAGGGTCGCTTTCCTGTAGTTCAGCTGCCTATGGTCAGGACAAGCGGAGGGCAACCCATGCAAACTTTGTGAGGTCAAGCAACACCGAAGCTACGTGGACAGCCAAGGCCTTGCTTGGCTTCCCGCATCGGCGCCTGGACGGCGACACTGGGCCTCCCGCAGTTGCTTTTTGGGTTGTAGCAATGCTAGCCGTCTGAAGTGAGGGGTCTTGCAGATTTCGAGGCATGGCAGTGGACCTCCTGAGCTCATGTCCCTGTGGACCCGACAGCCTCTGTATTCGCACACATCACTACACGTCACATCAGCCCCGCCCTGCGACGGAGCAGAGCCAGCCCAGCAGCCCAGCGGAGGGCAAACAAGACATCTGGCCCATGTCCATGGCAACAGTCTGGGCTAGAATAGCGGACTCCAACGCCACTGAGATCTCCATGACAGCAAATGCCTACACTGGCAACTCGAGTGTGAAGAATATTTTATACCGCTCAGTCAGACAGCCCAACCTAGTACCCAGACCTGAGAGCAATGGTTTCTGGGCCTTAGCCTGTGCTGTTGAACGCAAAAGGGGCATCGTTTTTTTCAGCAAAGTCCACCTCATGTGGCACCTGCTTGCTGAGAGCTTGTTTTGAGTGTGAGCCTTGGCCTTGGCCTTGGCATTGCTCAGCTTTGCTCAGCTTGTCAAGATCAAAAAGCGCTGCAAGGCAGCTTGCAGTTGAAATTCTACTCTTGTTTTCAAGCGCTCTTCTTGGTGGAGGTAAATAAGAGCTTGTTAAAGGTGCTAGCAGTGGTACTTTATTAACCGCTGGCACAGAGATTGGCCTGCTAGTTGTTGCACAACATGTTTCCAAAATGGGCGTTGTTTGGTAGTCGCCCCAGCCGAGAGTTCGGCAAGAACAGCCAGTGCTTACTGCCGGCAGAAGTAGCTCAGGAGACCGAAGATCTCTATTCCTCCGCTTGGGGGTGGCCCGGCTCGGCCTCTCGGATGGATCTGAGTTTGTGTTTTTGTGATTTAGTGTCTGCGATTCAACATCTTTCTTCTTGTGGACTGTTGTCACTGTTGGGGCTTTACCAAAGAACGCTGATGGTTGCGAAGCTGCCACGGACTCCAAGCAATGGTCAACGTTGAACACGCGGTGCCTCTGCCTTCCCCCTCTTCACTCGACCAGTTCATTGGCGTCAGGACGTCTTTTGCGGATCCACGGAGCCATGCCCTGCTGTGCCCCCGAACTTCGAGGGTGTGATGATCGGCCGTGGGGCCATGAACTCTCCCTGCTTCTCAGCTCCGATTTTCGAGGATTTTCGACGGGGTTCCGAGGGCAGAAGCAGGATCGTCGCAAGACCTTTTCCGGGCGGGCAACAAGTTCTTGATTGGGTGCAGGAAGGTTGGCTTTTGCCTTCGCCTTAGCAGATGCCAAAACCTTGCTGGCCAGAAGTACAGTCGAGTGCAAATTTTCATGGAGAGTGCATGGAGCTTGCAACTCTTGCAATCTTGCAATCTCTTGTGTTGTTGTTGAACGTGATCTGAAGTTGCCCAGGCATGCTTTGGGATGTGGACCACAGCTCCTCGGCGGAGTTTGGGTGGCACATGTGGATTGCTTCCGAATCCTATCGCAAAAGCCAGATCCATTGGAGTTCTCGAGACGGTTCTTGCAACGTTCAGGGAAGCTAGTCTGGTATGATTATGTGTCACGATGTCGACACCGAAGCAAGCACACAGCCACGGTGCGGATGGGAGGACTGAAGGCGAACGGTACTTCCACACTCTACACGCATTGCCATGCATGCTTCCCATGTTGTGCTCTGCAACCGCATGTGCTAGTCCTGGGGCCGTCCCAAGTCTTCTCCTAGTGCAGAAAGCCGGAGGCCTGTGGCGGGCTCTGGCATGTTACCTTAGAACCATGTGCCCAAGGTCTCTATGGAGAAGAGAAGCGGAAGCCAATGACGCGTCGTGAGCTGCTGGAGGGATACAAGACGCAACTTGGCAACATCAATCTGCCTGCACGAGGGTTCCGGATCATGATGGGGCCTGAGATCCATTCGCCGAGACAAGCTGGATGTATACTGCACATCACATGCTTTACATACACATCAAAGAGGCATGAGGCCTCAAGCGATCTCTGAGGTATTTGGAGGACGCACACACGGATGGCACGTCCGTGGGTTCGATCCACCTCGCTTTGAAGCCGACTCTGGGCATCCTCACCGGGATCCGAGGAAACAAGGCGAAGGGGCCGTTATACAGTCCACGTTACTTCCACTCAAGACACGATAGGCATGTGCTGTAAAGGATAGATATCGTGGCAAATGTCATTGACAGGCTATAGGCCGATGTCTGCGCAGTTTCCTGAAGATGCTGGCGTAGCCCTTTCCCCGAGCGTAGGTTTGTGCAGGTGCTTGTGCAGGAAAGGCTCGCGTAACGTGGGTGGAATTTTGGAGGTTCATTGCTGTGTTTTGACGCGTCCGCAGCTCCCGAAACTCTCTCGTCTACATCTCTATGTGACTATGGTCCACGCAGCAGATGGCCTTTTAACGCCTTTAGTAGGCTGCAATAGACATAGCCAGAAGTGAGGTGTTCGGCCATCCGAAGCAAGGACCCTTTCCTATGAGAGTCCTGTGTCAAGCAATGACTTCGGAGTTAATTCCTGTAGACGTTTGCGAGGCTTTTTCTAAGCTATTCTACACCCCCACCTCGACTACCCCGAAAAGACCCGGCGAGCCTGGAGCGAGGTGCAAGAGGATCTTCGGGACAGCGGAACGGAATTGTAGAACAACTTCCTAATCGGGATTCAGCACCGGGAAATGCTTTCAAGACTTCACAAGATGCACGGTAGTCGGCATTTGTAGCCACGTAGCCGGCGTAGCCTCAGGCTCTTTCACTACTCATGGCAGATCTGCAGGCATTCCGACATTTGAGGTGAAATCACAGCGTAGGTCTGTGCAGGAGATGTAATGATAAGACACAAGCAACAAGGACAGCTCAGATGTGCCAGCGACTCACCATACACCCCGCCCTGCACAGGCCTACCGGGCCACCGCGGACAAAACCATGCGACGCAAGGATGTGGCTGAGCGACTTGCCGAAAACGATGATCTTCTCGCAAGCCGTTCAGGTCAGCGTCAGAACATGGTTAACTAGACTCTAGACAGATCCACACAGCGTATTGCAAGGCCAGTTACAGTGTGAAGGCATGTTGAAGTTGAAGGTGATTGTGCTACTACGCCAGTGTGCTACCTCAAGCAAGTGAGGATGGGTCCGGCCTATGTTCTGGAGGCGGCCATGAAGGCAGTGGACGAAGCAAATCCAGGACACGCCACGGACAACAGTAGCAGGCCTCGTTACTCAGCCCACAATCATGCCAGACCCCAAAAGGGGGCTCGAGTTGTCGATACCACTGGCACATGGAAGGAGTACTAGATGAAGCTTTGCCCGCCACGGTGGCCTTCAAGCAGCAGCCTCCTGCAGAAGCTCCCTGGCCGGTCTTGATCTCGTTTGATGCCAGGCTGCGGCACTTGTCACTCAACGTGAGAGGCTGCGGGTAAAGCGCAGCAATCAGACAGTAGCAAATGATGAGCCCTTTCTGAGGCAGGGACGCCACGTGGGCAGAAGCGAAAACCGGCAGAGGTTGCGACAAGCGAGGTCCAGGACTTCGGACCTTGCATTCTGCGACGGTTCCTGTCACCAAAGTAGCACGAGCCTGGAATTACAACGCAAATGCCGGCTGGGATCTCTATAGGCGTGATGAGATTGGTAAAGGTAATGCATCTTGGCTACTATCTCAAGCCCTGCCTCGTCGATATTGACTATAGACCCAATGATGCTGGAGACGCATCTTCGAGACATCGTAATCGAGCCACGCAGGCCGTGCCTGAAAGCGGATCCTGCGCCGGGCCGATGGAAGCTGAACAGATGGCTAGCCCAGCGCTCCTTGCAGCTTGATTTTCTGACCTGCGTTTCACGCTGTCATAAGTCTCACGAGTTCTGGTTTGGACCGGCGTGCATTTCTTCTGCTAGCAGGCCTTCCTGTCTCACGTGGCTTTGGCCTTTGCTCGGGCAAAACGCTGGCATAAGATGTCCTTTGCAAAGGGAGCCGTGCGCCCGATCACAGTCCTCGGTCCTTGTCCAGAGATTTCTGGACTTGCCCCAGCTTTTCGGGCCTGGGAGTTGCGGGAGACACTGACAACACATTTCCAAATGCGAAAGCCAGTTTTGCTTCACAAAAAGCTCTTGCTCTCCCATGTCTGGCATGTTGTTGCTAGCAAAAGCGGGCAAACCCCATCCAGAGCGTCGGAGTTTCGTCAAACAAGGTGCAGGTTCGGGCTTTCGCATGCCAGCACATTGACCCCTTCACTCCAAAGCAAGGAGATGAGAAGAGTGCCGCTGCACTGCAAGGCGAGTCTGGCCGCTTCGGCATCGAGCGCTGCCTCCGCAACAGCGTATGCTGTAGATGCGGGGCTCCCAGGTCCGTGAGGCTAAGCCTTATACGTTTCTTAGTTGTCATCCTTGCATCCGGCCTTCAAACCCCATTTCAACTAACCCGGTGTCCCGCCTTCCCTGTGAGTTCTGAGGCCGTGGTCAAGGAAGTGCCGCGCTTACAAATCTTCTGCCCCTTACAGTAGATCAGTAGAACAGAGCTGCACATCGGAGCGTCACAAATCCTGGCCCCTTGTATTGTCCACGAGCTCTCGTTGGCAACGGCAGGGCTCTCTAGTCAAATCATCCGCTTCTGAGCTTTTCACTAGTGACGCAAGGGTGCTCGCTCCTGTGCGTGTTTTGCAGATGGCGACCTGGGTACAGGGCAAGCGCAAGCAGATAAAGCAAAGAAGAAGACGGCAAAGCGTTGTGCCACTTGCTGGAAGATGCATGTACCCTGTTGGAGAGATGCGTTCTGGGCTTCGATAACTGCGCGTCTTCTGGCTGTCGCACAAGGCGCCCACTGTTCAGTCGACTGCCGGGTCGGCCATCTTGTGCATCGAGTTGTCATTTGCTGAGGCTTTGCTGTTCTTCGCAATCATGCCCCAGGCCCTGCCATGCTTGGGAAGATACCACAGATTAGCTCAGACTAGCTTGCAAGAGCCCTTCACAAACTTCTCTGTGTGGTACATCGACTGCATCACCTAGCCGGCGGATAGTGCCCATCTGAGCTTGGACTTACGGACGTCTGTCGTGTCTGATGTGGCGCGTGGCTGCCGTATTTACTGGTGTTTTGCATGTGTCGAATCCACTCTTCGGAGGATGTCGGCCTGGAAGCTCTGGGGCGGCAGAGGCTCAAGAACAGCACGCAGACGTGGGTGAACGACGAGCGCGCACCACAAACACAATGCCAAGAGCGTTGTCCTTCAGTTGAATTTTCTGTTGCTTTGCCTGCGTGTTTGTGCGCACGTGTCTGGCAAACATTGGCAAACTCACAGCTGTTGAGACCAGGGCTGGCACTGGCGCCGGCGAGGAGCCCTTTTGCTTACTGTCCTGAGATAGCCCGAGGTAGAGATCTGGAGGATAGTGCATGCAAGATACCCGGTCAGACGGTCAGACGTCTGAAAGGGCTACCTCTCACACACTGGCCATCTGCAGCAACTCTTGCCAGGAGGTGTTCAGAGTCTTCGGCCAGAGGGCGCATGCAGACGCCGCAGCCATGGACGGAATGTTTACACATCAGCGCTCTAATTTTAACGCTACGCGACCCGCCTCGGCCCGGCCCAGCGCATCCGCGTGAGCATGGTGATTCCTCAGCGCCCAAGTCGCTGGACCCCAAGCAATAAGGGTTGGGTTGAGGGTTGAGGGTTGAGGGTTCCGGGTTTATGGTTTATGGTTTGGGGTTTGGGGTTGAGGGTTAGTTTAGGGCTCAAGGTTCACGCTTTGGGGTTGAGGGTTTTTTTGGGTTTAGGGTTCGGCTTGGAGTGATCGTAGGGTGAGGCCCCTTAAGGTTTAAGGGGTGGGGGGGGGAGGGGGGGGGGGGGGGGGGGGGGGGGGGGGGGGGGGGGGGGGGGGGGGGGGGGGGGGGGGGGGGGGGGGGGGGGGGGGGTAGGTGCCTTGGACGCTTAACGTCTATTCTGCGCGTGCTCTTTGTTTTCTTGGATTCTTCCTTCTGAAATTGGGTTCTCGTTTGAGGCGTTCTATCGGATCGCTTCTTGGAGGAGTTTTGACGTGAGGCCGCGGGGACGACACGGTCAAGGGAGGGGGTTCGGAACATTTTGCTGGGAGAGGGGCGTGGCGGGGAGCGTGACATTCGGTTGATGGGCAGGGGAGTGGGGACACATGGATGCTCCTCTGTGCCCTCCGCGTTTGCAAGCCCTCCGCGCCTCCGCGCCCTCCCCGCGCGCCCCCGCGCCCTCCGCGCCCTCCGCGTCCTCCGCGGCCTCCGCGCCCTCCGCGCCCTCCGCGCCCTCCGCGCGCGCTCCGCGCCTCCGCGCCCTCCGCGCCCTCCGCGCCCTCCGCGCGCCTCCGCCAGGACACAGTGTGCTGATGCTAAGGGTGCATTGCGTCTATTCTGCGGGTGCGTTGCGTCTATTCTGCGGGTGTTTCCTTTGTAAAGTATTTGTTTACAAGGCACGCACGTGCAGCATAGCCTTTAAGTGTCCATCTTACGGGGGGGGTAGGGGGGGGGGGGGGGGGGGGAAGGGGGGTGGGGGGAAGGGGGGCGGCAGGGGCGGGGGGCAGGGGGGGGGGGGGGGTTGCGGGGAGGGTGGGGGGGGGGGCGGGGTGACGGTGGGGAGCCCTGCTGGGAGGGGCTTCAACTGCCTCTGGTCCTGGCGAACCGTCCGCTTGCGGACCCCGGTTTCCCAGGGGGGGTACCCATTTGAGGCCAAAAAAAGGGGTCCGAAAAAGGGGAGGATTTGACACCTCCGAGGCCTCGGCGGATTGAGTTCGGCAACAACCCATGTTGTTCAGTCTGTTTGCCACTATGAATCTTGTCGAACCTTCTTGCTCCGAAAGGCCCGGGCAGCCAACGACGCATGTGCTCTTGCCTCAGCTGTTGGCCATTCTCCCATTTTGTGGCTGTCTTCGGCCTGACTCTTCGACACACCTCGTCACATCTTGTCGGCTTCGCAAAGAACCAGGAAGTAGTTCCCTTGTGGTCCTTCTTTGCTTGCAAGAAATCAAGCATGTCCAGCACACATGCCGCGGATGGAAGAAATCAAAAGGGAAGTTGCTAATCCAATCTGCTTCTGCAAGTCGCTGGTTCTCACTCGTCCAGGCATTGGCCCACCAGCTTGTGGCAAATGCAAGTCGTGGAGGCTTCTTCCTGCTGTTTACTTACTGCAAGACGCGGACTTGATGTTGCTGGTTGTCGCTGCATGGCCTTGTTGCTGCACGGCCACCAGCTACAACGTCACAGAATCTAGAATCCAGACGCGGCCGGAAACACACAGCTTGATTGGGCCCTAGCGGTTTACACTATGGCTGCCCTGGTTCAATGAGATCAGCACCACGTACCATTCATGGCGTTTTTCATCTCTCACTCTTGTACCACAGCCTTGTTCACCCATCACACCGTGAGACCCCAGCTCTCATATCTCAGACCCTTCCATCCCACCTGTTAGTTTTGCACATGAATCCGCTTTTGCGACCCTGTTAACGCCTCTTCTGTCTTCATTTTCATGTCGAGGGTCAAAGGTACAACAGGCAAGGAGTACATGAAAGTAGCGTGGATTTCCTAGTTTGGGAGCCTTACGTACCATTCTGCAAGTATGACTGATGTCCATTGGATCCACAAGCAACCACTGTTGCACAAAGGCTGCCTCGAACACTGTCGTTTCGCAGTGTCGACGGTTGAACAGGGAGGGAGGCATGCCAAAAAGCGGCCTAGCGGATCCAGCATCTCAAGTCTCAAGATCTATCAAGATCTCAAATTTCAGATGTTGTGCCTTTTAACTTTTAACTCCTTACTGCCTGGCGTCAGTTAACTTCTTTGGCAACCAAAGAGGAATTGTGGGCAAGCCTGGCCAACATCTCCCAACTCGTGCCTGCAGGCCGGTCAGCAGGCTCATTGTCAGGAGGCTGGGGCAGTGCTACTATCAACTGTAAGCTTAAGCTAAGGCCTGAAGTGCCTAAAGCGGGACGTGCATGTTCCCGACCGCAGCACCTGAATGAGATTTATGGCTGAAGCTCAGAAGAACGAGGATCCCAGAGGCACAGCATGCAGTATTCCATGGGATTGAGGTAACCTCCTTGCGGCCGCATTGGCTGCCGGTCGAGTCGGCACTCATGCGGACGCATTGGCAGAACCTGGCAGAGTGTTTCTTGCCGTTTCGTGTAACTTGCTTGTTCCGTTGTGGGCGCTTTAGTTGAGCGTTTGATACTCCAGGATCCACGACCTTATGGATTACGAGCAGCGAGTGACACATGTGACACCAAACATCACCCGACCTTTAGCACCCTGCAGAGTATGGTATTTTCTGGCGTGTTGTTCCCGCCGACACAGGTGTCAGAGTGAAGAGAGATCGAGGGAGTCAACGGAAAGTCTTAAGAGAGTCAAGGATCGTACCGCTGCCACCGCGCGAGAAGGTGCGCAGCTCTGCGGGTAGCTCAGTTCGATGCCAGATCAGAGATCAGGCGTCCCTCGAGTGTGTTAGAAGTTGCTCAGCCAAGCATTGTCGTTGAGGCATGGGCATTCTGGAGGATGCAGTGCAGGCTACGCGCCTTGCGTTAGTTTCTTTCTAGTAACCTCTCAGGTCGCTTGCAGTTTCTTGTGCGCTTCAAGGTTTTCAGGGACCCTGCATTCAGAGTTGGCTTTTAGCCCGGTTTTGCTGCGCGTTAGCATTAGCTGTGACTAGCGGTATAGCTTGCGTCAAGGTCAATGCAAGCGCATTGGCTCGCGAAACGGCAAAGCGCTGTGCGGAGCAGGACTGGAACGGCTGCTGTCATTCTCAGCCTTCTTTTGCACACAGTCTTCGGCTTTGATCAGAGCCCGAGGTCCATTTCTTAGCTACAATTGAGACATTGAGAGCCCTTACGAGACATGGGCCCGCTCTTTGCAGATGATGCTTCGGGCTGTCCTGATCTGATGGGCCTGGAAACTAACAGATCGGCGACCGGATGTGACCAGCCAAGACCAGCCCTCGCGTGGCATGATGGAGCGGCCAGGCCCTCCGCAGCATCGAAGCGGCCACACGCGCAGAACAGTGGGCCTGACATGTTAAAGGCCGAGGGTCGATGGCAAAGGAAGTGACGTGATAAAGTAGGACCGACATGAGGAATCGCCTTCAGCTTCACTAAATCGTTTTTTGTTGTGTATGGCGAGCTGGAACCTGTGCTGACAACATTGGCCCAAGCATTAGTCGAATCAGGTTGAGCAGACCTTAGAAGGATTGTGTGGCAATACCGACTTCTACTCGTGGATGGTGAAATTTCTGCCTTTCTTTCGGCGCCGCTTGGCATTGCATTCGAATCGGCCCTGCACTGGACTCTGGCACTCTGGCCTTGTGAATGTGTGAGGTCAAGCTGCCCTGGAAAAGAATGACAGCTGCCGGGCGATGCCTCCAAAACTCTTGACAGAGCAGGAGACAGAAGCAGCGATGCATGCTCCTAGGATCGATGGCTCCATTCTGTCGTGAGCAGGATGTCCCGAGCGGCTGGGTTCCAGACGACCTTGATGAGAGACTCTCGGCGAGACTTGCTCGGTCTTGCTGCATTTCGCGCCGTAGCGGACTGACCGGAGAGTTTTTTGTATCACAACTTCGAGGTACTGAGCCCGATTCCTTGCGAAATGCCAAGACACGCAAAGACTGGAAGCAAGTGTTCAGCTTAGGGCTTAGCGGCTGAATCAAAACGAGCCAGTAAGTTAGTAAGTTGGTACTTAGCAGCTCGTAAGGATCATTGAGAGCACTGCAAGCTGATGAAAGTCTTCCAACTTCCAACTGTATCAGGAATAGCTTTCCTCCAAGCTCTGGCAGATCACAGCCTGCCGATGCCACAGAATGAAGCGCAATTTCATGCAGCACGAGTCTTCAGTGACCCGGCTGCAGGAGAAAAAACATGACTTGCAGCAACCTGACTTTTCACAACTGCAAGGGGGGCAAGCATGCTTGGGACATCACAGAATAGCCGCGGCAGCCATCAATGCGCTGAGGTGACGAGACTGGGCCTGGGCCTGAGGTAATCTGAGGTACGTCAGGGCACAGAGTCCAGGCCAGACCTTCGAAGTCAGAAGCCTCAAATTTGTCCTCGGTTGTCACGCTCATTGGAGGCGCTCGGAGTATCGCATGGACCAGTGGATGGACCGAGCACATCTCGTCTTCATTCTGTGCGTTCTCGTTTGTTCTTCGTGTGAGCTTCTTAAGAACCGTCTTAAGAAGCTTGATTTCGAACACTCCCCCATCTTTTGCAGGACTACCTGCAGCTTCACGGCTACTCGATCCCAGAGGCTGCACGGGACCGAGGAAGGCTCAGGGCTGGACATCTCAAGGAAAACATCGGAAAACCCTTCGGAAAACCCTCCCCATATCTTCCAATCTAAGCAAATGCAAAGAAGAAGCAAAGAAATGCAGTTCCGTGTCTGCAGAGTCACACACTTCCCTAGAAGTCGGATTGCTAGTATTTCTAGTGTCTGTAATGCACGCCCAGTACACCCGAGAATTGCGCTTGACTCAAGCTAGCCCTGTCGGACCACAAAAACGTGCAGTCATAAAGCATGGCGTGCAGTTTTACATCTCTCGGCAAAAAAACAAGCTTCCCAGGCTAGATGACTTTGCCAGCTGACCTCACATCCAAGGGGATGTGACAGCCGCAGTTAACAGATGCACAGTCCATTCATCAGGTTGGAATGGGTGATCGGATCGGCATGCCTGCACCACTCACCATGCATCTTATGTCGGTTGACACCTTCATTCACTGTTCATTCAACTTTGGGTACCTGCCGATACTCACTCCGGCCGAGTCTTATCATGTGAAAGCACTCTGGAACAGAGCTGAGTTTCCATGTACAGGGATCAAGGCCGGCGCATCATGCTGACTTTGCATCATCGGTCCTGGATACGATTGCCGACGGCCGTGTCCAAGTTCGCGGTGGCACCATCTAACTTTGAGATGCCGGCGGCCTGTCCGGAGGACTGACGATGACGAATGGAGAGTGGCAAGGCCTGGAGGGACGGCCCCTCTCACATGCGCGTGGATGTGCTTGCGCACCCACGGCACATGTCCGATGCAGAGGTTATGCCAGTTACTGCCAGTACTACTTGGCCTGAACTTTGTGGTGACATTGTAGTGTGTGGCATGAAAAAGAGAGTAGGAGTGGGAGGGGGAGAGGCACGGGGAGGAGAGAGCGAGAGGGAGAGGGAAAATGTCCGGCGATGCGGGAGAGAGGTCCTGAACCCCAAGCTGGGGCAACCGGCCTGAACCCAATACCATTGCTGCATTCCCAAGAGCCCACTCACATTCCATGAAGCATCGTTCTGTTTGCATCTCTGTACAGAAGCTCCATGCAAGATGCTTAGGCATGCTTACTTCACATGCTTTACATGCATCTCGATTAGGGCCGTCCTGAGTCAATTTTGCACCAAATTCGTAGCTCCTCCCAGGAGTGGTGCTTCCGGCAGCTTGGGATAAGATCTGATAGATTGGGCTTGGGCTTTCTTGCTCAACAAAGCATCATCCTAAGCACAACTACTTCAGCAGATTGCCCACCTTGGTTGTTAGACTATGTTCGGCGCTGGACAGGCAGTCTCTGTTGAGTTTCTTAAGGGAGCTCCAACTGGGCAGAAGGGCACTCCGAGAGCTGGAAGCTGCACTCAGCTGAAGACTTGTGAGAGGAGACGGAAAATGCAACTACCGGTCCAGGAAGAGATGCGAAGTACGGCATCATACAGCAAAAAGTTCCCATGTTCCAAAGTCAGCTGAAACGTCTAAACCTTCTACAATACAAAGATTCCAACTGGACGGTCGCGCTCGTTGTGACGGGTAGTGAGCAAGTCAGACAGCATGGCAGAGGTCCTGCTGTCTTTTAGCGGGTCTCCGGCAACGGACTCCCGACGCACTCCGCAATTTGGCATGCTTGGGCCAATCTGCAGGTTTGACCTCAAGAGCTGCGTGAGGCTACTAAGCTGTGTGATGTTCGGTGCTAGCCCTCAGCAGGGGCATCTTCTTACTCAGCCAGGCACAGTCGCTCCTTGCGAGACGTTCTTGCACATACTTTGAGACGGCGCCTCAGAAGTTTCAGGTACTTGAGACGGAGAGTTGCGAAGCTTGGAGCCCTTGGAACAGTGTCATGCGCGTTGCAGCTTTGAGGCGCAGCTGAGCTCCAAGCACGAGCGCGGCCCTCAGTGCCGCAGCCCATCGAAGGCTGCCACTGAGCCCCCTTGTACACGCATGCTTAAGACTCAAGACTGAAGCCGATTCGGACATATTCGGACTTTATGGAAACTTAGGACCAAGAAAGTCAGTAGCAAACCCCCCTCCGTGTGCCTTGCTTGCCTGTGCGCGGGCGTGAGAGTCGAAACCCCCGTCGGTCAAGACGTCAAGGTAGTGTAGGTCAGTCCGAGCCAGTGCCTGAAAAAAACAGCAAAAATCGCCCAAGAGTTTCGGGGTTGGCGGAATGGCTCGCCATGAGTTCGTAGGGTGTTTTTCCTCTTGCAGCGGAATTCGCAGGCACTGGGGCCTATCAAAGGAAGTTGCTGTTAGAAGCTTTGCCACATTTTTCTTTGTCGTCAAGCACAGCATCAATGCAGTAGCACAGCCAATTTTGCGAATCATGCCAGCCCACCCTCCCAAGCATCAAGAATGAGGCGCACTCTGGGAACGCCGGCTTGCCAACTGACACGCTTGTCTGAACCCGAGGCCGTCGAGACAGTTTTTTTTGGGTGAATTTTGTGTGACAGCTCAGCTTCAAAGAGCTGACAGCATCCATGACCGATAAGAGTGGAGGGCCATGATGGGCCCGCTTGTCAAGCCACACAGCACGCCAACTGAGGCAGCACTAGCAGCTGCTCCGTCGGCGCCGCTTGAAGCCTACACCACATGCGGTGTGAAGGTTCACGCGTTTGTGGGCACCATCAAAGAACGTTGACATTGATCGACGCCAGCCTCTCACACCAGTTTATCGTAAGGGACTTCAGCATTGTTCCTTTCGAGGTCACGACAGCCTTCGCCATCCTTTCGATGGTGGCAGGCTGGTTTGGTACTGCATCATGCTACGTGAGGGGCACCTTTGCCCATCGCTTTGGGGCATGCTGCTCTGACTTCTTTTACCTCTGAGTTGCTTGGCATACGCAGAGTTATAGTCCAGATCGTCTGTCAACGTTGCTTCTTGAAGTGATTGCCTGAGTGGTTCTTGAGCCAGTAGTGTGCAGGAGATTGACCTGATGAGTGTGCCCAAAGAGGCCCACCACGCTTTGGCATCATGCTGCACCGGAAGGGTTTTCGTTTTCCTATCGGTGAGTTAACTGCCATGAACTGGACTCATGGCGTTTGCATTACCAAGCTCGTGTCCATGGTTCTACTGATACTGTCTGGTTCTGTCCCTTCGGTTTTTGTGTAGCTTGCGGGGGATATGGGTAAGGCAGGCGTTTTGTGCTGGCCAGAGTTGTGTGTGTGGGTGGTGCTTTTGGAGCCATCGTGCCGCATCGTGCCATTGTGGCCTTTTTGAGCGATTGCAGTTCCATCATGGCCAGCCTTACAGTATCCCGTTAGTGTAGAACTTTCCTGCGCAAGTTTGGCGCACAGGCATCCATTGCAGGACGAAGCTACGAAGCTCGCACAGCAAGAAAGGTATCTTTGTGGCCTGCTTCGAGGTGTACCGAGTTGCTAAGCATGTTTTGGATGCTGTGTCAGTTTCTCTGCGTCAGGACTCCTGAAGCGTGTCTTCTTGATGCGTACCTTGCACATATGTGCACAGTCACCCCAAGGCAATGCACTTGAAAGCCTGGAAGTTGGTGAGCAAGTCAGAGAGCCCAAGCTGAGGATGTACCTGTGCTTCCCGCAGATGGCCTGGCTCGACACCTTGAGGCAAGTTGCTGTGAAACGGCAAGAGCTACCGAAGTTATGCAGGTGGGCATACACAGGTTGTACTGTTATGTGACGTCGGCCGGTTGCAGAGATCTCGATGGTGCAACAGGGTGCAGAAGGTAGGTGTGTGCGTGTGTGTCTGTCACTGTCTCTGTCTGTGCCTGTGCTTGTGTCTGTGTCTGTCTGTGTTTTCGATTCGCTAGTTGCAGGGAGAAGTGACAAAACAATGTTCGGCAGCTGCTCTGCTCAATGTGCCTCCTAGGAGATCTGCAGCTCCTTTTCTTGCCAAGCGTCCAGCTTTTGCCGAAAAGCTCCAAAAGCAAGCTGGGCTGGAGGAGTGGAGCATGTGGAGCCCAGCCTAAAGCCCAAGTCCACTGAGCATGTTTTGTTGCTTTCTGGTATCAGTTTTTGCAGGCCGCTGTGCGGCGATGTCGTCCGGACGAAGCTTCGGAGGATCGGCGGGACATGGACATCCTCAGATCAGCCAGATATCATTAGTTACTGCTAGCTCAGAGAAAGGGCCAGCGTGCAGTTTTGGTGCGTCGTGCTTACGAAGAAGGACTGTTGGACGAAACAGTTTTGATTCGGACACTGGCTTTTGAATAACATATTTATGCCACAGAGACCGCAAGGTTGCACAAGAAATTTTGAAGCCTCAGTTTTGAAACTTTTGAGTTCGCGCAAAGCTGCTTTGAAGGACGACATGCAAGCGTCGGGACCTGAACTAGCTTCAGTTTCATGTTCGCTGTCCCCTGTGTGCCTCGTCGGTGTGCCGGATAGGCCGGGGTCACTCCACTGCTTTGTCTACAGTCACTTGTAGGGTCGGTCATTGCGTCTATGTGTCTGAGTGTGTGTGTGTGTGCGGCATGTGTGGTCTAGTGGCTAGCTCCCCGGCGTCGTACTCGTGGATGCATGCTGATGTTAACCTATACTACTAGTTGTTCCTGGCGGTTCGGCTCATACAGGCATCGCTCCGTAGATTGAAGAGTTGAAGACATGTGGGCACACGGACATATCCTAGGTCGCCCAGTCCAGTCTGGAAGAGCTCAGATAGGATGCTGCATTGCTTGTACTGTATGTACTGGTACTGTTGCAGTGGTTTCTTGGAGCTCCAATTTGAGACTGAAGCTTCCACGTGGTGGCAGTCAAGTCAGCTGTAGTTGCCATCACAAGGCTGAAGCAGAGGCTTGTTTGCGCAGTATCTTTTGTGGTGCGGGTCCACCTTTGCAAGACACATACTAGCCAACAAGAGAAAAGGGCATCCGAGACGATTTCTCAGGTTTCCTGGTGTCTGGAGGAACGAGCGCAAGTCAGAGCTGCCTTTTCGTTTGTGTCTTGTGATCAAGAGGTTCGGTAGCCGGCCTCATGCGTCAGCGAAGTTCATGGAACCCTGAGACAGAACAGACGCTCCATAATATGCCCCCTCAGCATAAGTAGCTACCCAGGCTGGCGGCTCTGGTCGAGTGGAGATTCGCGAAGGCTTCGGAGTGCAGAAATGATTGCTGTACCAGGTAATTACAGAGGCACCACTGGAGTACCTTCCCCCCCCTGCCCCCTGCCCCCGTCTTCTTCAGATCTGAATTTCAGCCCCGCAATTTCTCATTTCCTAGCTCGCCCCTCCCTCGCCCCTTCCCGTCAAGTAAGCAATCCAGCCCCTCCATTTCCCAAGTGCTGCACCGTTCCCCCTCCCAAGAAGACTGGCCCCAGCAAGCTTGCCCTCACAAGAGCAGATGGACTTAGCATAGTG